AAAAAAAAAAAAAAAGGCCAGATAGGCTGTAGGTAGAGGAAAATGTAGAATAAAAAGATTTTTACATTTAAGATGGGAAGAACATTGATATCCTTAAAACATGTGAGTGAAAGAGAAATAATGTATAGAGGGTACATGTGTTTTAGTGGAACAAAGAGGGGATAGGTAAATAGATGTTAAAGAGAAGGTATTAGCTTCCTCCTTTATACTGCGTCAATTGCAGTAGGTAGGAAGAAGAAAATGAGCGTAGATATAGGTACTCTGTTAGCAGAATATTGAAGAAGCCCTGCTTAGAGAATTGCTGGTATTTTCCCCGCTAAGAAATAGATAAAGTTATTTGCTGAAGAAAAATGTGACAAAGAATGTTGTTGAGATTTGAAGCAGAATGAAGGTAGGAGGTTTGAAGAAATTGGAAAGGATTTGAAATAGCTCTAGAACTTGGGAAAATTAAAAGAGAATTGTCATAAAAGTGCTGGCAGTGATATAGTCTGTTCAAAACTGGTTATTGTATTTTCATTGCAACCCATTCACCCAGTAAAATGGATTTCTTTAGCACCTCTGTCTACTTGAGTACAAAAGTGACAGTCCTTCAGGGGGCTTTGTATAGAGTGGAGTAGGGTGTAAGCATTTGTATGCTGGTAACAACCATCCCCCCCAAAAAAACCCCAAAGATTTCCTGATTTACTTGTAATAGTTGTTGATATCCACAGAATAAATACTCCGTAATGGTCAATTTCGAGATATTGGCCTGATGTCATTGAATGCAGAATTGGGAGCAATAACAAACCCTTTTCACCATTCTCATATGATAGATATAAATAACCTCAAAGGCATCAATAGTAAAAAAGTAAAACAAAAATTAAGTTATGAGTTTTGATTATTACCAGGATGTTTAATTGATTTACATGTAAGCTTATATAACTCAAATTTTAATTATGACTAGCAGTCAGCTAAAAAATCCTTAAACTATGATAAATTTTAATTATGACTGTTTAGCAATCATCAAAAAAAATCCTTAAAATGTGAACCACCTCTAGAATGCCACTACTGGTAACTAAATAGGCAAAGAATAGCATACAAAGTGGTATTAGGTGATGGTCCATGTAATACTGTAAGAATAAAAGGAGGAACATCTAACTCATTTATAGAATAAGACCCATCCATATAGGTTTCCTAGATTTGATGATGCTTGAGCTGACACTTGTAGAATGAGAATGATCTAACCAGAGAGATGAGTGGTACAGTAGGCATAAATATTAGCATTTATAAAGTCATGGAAATTTTATGTAGTTGTACTTCGGAAGTAAGGTGTTCATCAGAAGCAAACAGATGAATTGTCTGCCTTCTTTAGGGTATTGTACGTAGAGATTAAAGTACAGAAAAGCTGGTGAAACAAAACAATGTATACATAAAAGAATATGTATATTGAACAACAGCATCCAACAAAATTGAACAGCTACCTTTTCCAGTATGACAGTATAGGAAATATTTGCAACACCTTGCAGTAAGTGCCAAAAAATATTAGAAATTAGCATCACAGGGGTATAAGATTATCAGAGAAAATAAATTGTTAGAGACTTTATTATTAACTAGTTGCTAGACTGTTCATGTCATTAGGGTAAGAAAATTAATACTTGTTCTAAACTTTATGGTAGTCAGAGAGTGTGTGTATCATCAAATAAAATCTCAAGGTTTTCTACTTTATGGATGGTGGTTATATTGACTTACTCCAGTTGAGTACTGTGCTGTATCACTTACTTATTGTAGAAGAACGTAGGAACTTCTTTCAACTTTGTTCTAGATTTACCTTCTAATATTTGTTTTGCTTTCTGTATATGCTTTTTATTCCTAGTTACAAGACATTCTTACCAAAATGTGTTCGAGCAAAGATCCAAGACTATCATATTTTGACAAGGAAGAGAATAAGGTACAGATTTCGCAGATTTATTCAGCAGTTCAGTCAATGCAAAGCTACTGCCAGAAACTTGAAACTTAAGTATCTTATAAATCTGGAGACTCTTCAGTCTGCCTTCTACACAGAGCAATTTGAAGTAAAAGAACCTGGAAGAGGTCCTTCAGGTGAGGAGATTTTTGCAACCATTACAATAACTGGAAACGGTGGAATTCAGTGGTCAAGAGGGAAACATAAAGAAAGTGAGACTCTGACAGAACAGGTAATCCTTAATGATATATTCTCATTCTTTGTTATTTTAAGTAGAATGGCAGTAGAAGAAGCACAGTGATTTTAGTCATTTGAAACCTTGTCTTACACTTCTCCCACTGATAAAAGTGGAATTTAATAGTGTGAATCCATTAGGGTTGTACAGATAGTTCTTTTGTCGTTGTTCTTAAGTAGCTTTTTATACAATTTTTAATGACAATTAGTAATGACTTTCTTATATTTTCAAAAAAGGTTTGAATTCTGTAAATGGTTTTAGGGTAGTTTTGCCTTTTGTCTTTCACTATTGTTGATAATAAGGAGGCACAATCATAAAACTAATTAAATGGAAAAGTTAACTTAATTATTTTTAAAGATAATATATACTTGTTAATTTAATTTTTAAGGTTTGCATTACAAGTTTAAAATTTGTTTATATCTATGTTGTTCTTAGATTGTTTTAAAGATTTAGAAGCATGTTTTATTTTATTTATCTTATTGATAGCTAACTTTCCAATTTTCTGGCAGTAGTTCCTATTAGTATAAAATTGGTTTGGAATGTACTATAATATACTTTGGATTCCTGGCATCCTTTAATGATCTCATTTTTAAGTCAAAGCAAGATAAAGTACACTTTTGGGATCAGATTTTTAGGAGAAGGGATTGCATTTAATACTTATCTATTGTTATCAGTAATACCTTTTTTATTTTAAAGAATTTGGAATTGATGTTGTCTTTTCATAAGTCTTGTTGAAAATGGTTCCATAACTTTTTAATTTTAAATGCTTTTAATTATAGAATTTACAGTTGTATTGTGATTTTCCTGATATTATTGATGTCAGTATTAAGCAAGCAAACCAGGAAGGCTCAAATGAAAGTAGGATTGTAACTATCCATAAGCAAGATGGTAAAAATTTGGTAAGTTTTTTATAACTAAAAAGCAGTTATATTTTACATTTGTCAGAATTAAATATTTCAGAATGTTAATAGCAAAATTATTTTCTTATACGAATTTTGATTAAAGTTATTAATATAGCTGTGCACATAAATACCAATTCAATAAACCTTTTTTAAAATTATCATTTGTATCAGGACCAACTCTCTTCACAGTGACTTTCTTGTACATTACTATAATTTTGACTGTGTGTGTGTATGGTACTGGGAATTGAACCCCAGGCCTTCACACTGAACTACATCCCCAGTCCTTTTTAATTTTTATTTTGAGACAGGATCTTGGTCTGTTCCCCACTACTAGAATCAAACTTTCAGTCCTTCTGCCTCAGCCTCCTAGAGTTCACTCATTTTTATGATTATGAGAGCACCAGCTATTTCTCCTGTTTCCCCCAACTCTGGGTAGTTCTAGTTCCTGTTATAATACTCTACCTGCTAGAAATGTTTTTCCTCTTCTTCCCCTTCCCTCTCCCCCTCTCCCTCCTCCTCTCAATAGGGTTGTACGTAATGCCAGTCATATTGCCTAATTAAAAGAAAAAAATAAAGTGATATCCTTTTGGAATTTATATGACAACATGTAAACCAGTTCTAGGTCAACTTTACCCGATTTCTAAGATATGATTGATTTTAAAAGATTAACCCTTTCCTTTCTTTAAATAGCTTCAGAAATACCAGTTATTTTATTTGAAGGGGAAGGAGTTAATCTTAAAATACTTTACTTTTAAATTTATTCATCTGGCTCTATTTTCTTTTTAAATATTGGGTGCTTCTTGACTCCTAGCTTAAATGTTAACATTATTTGTTCACTTACCTTAAGTATTTGTGTGGCTTATCTGTGTTCCCTTTATATTCTGGGGTTGTATTATGCAAATTAAAACTGACTTGCAACTCACTTTATTCAGCACACTTTTCTGTTTTTAGATAAAAATATGTTAATGTAAACCTACTGCCTAGTAAGCTGTAAGCTTCTTAACTGCAAGAAGCATATTTTCATGTGTGCTTATGTCCTCCTGCACCTTGTATGGTGTTCCAGGACCTAGTTTAGGAAGAGTTTGATAAGTACTTCATGGGTGGATGAAAGAGTGATTAATAATTATCAATCCCATGTGGATTGATTCTCTGAAATAGTATATTGATGCTAATGGGAACATCCTATAGCACACTAAGGAACTCCTTTGTGGGAAAGTATTTGGACTTGTTGACTAAATTTTTTCTGAGGTCATAATATTGGTTAAGTGATAGACAGTTTAAACTCCAATCCATGATTTGAAAACCGAAGCCCTTAACTGTGACTCTACTCTCTTTTTGAATATTCTTAAAGCTCCTTGAAAATAAAACATCATCACTTCGTTGAAATTGTGCTAAAGTTAATTTGGGAAGACTACTTTTTTTCCATATAACCTTTCTATTTTAGGCATTATTATATTTTTTCTTTTTTTGCAATGCAATTTATTACTGTTTCCCCCCACCCCCCGGTACCAGGGATCGAACTCAGGTCCTTGTGCTTGCGAGGCAGTTGCCGGCACCACTGAGCTAAATCCCCAACATAATTATATTTTTTTCTATATACATGTATTATGTTTCTAGTAGTTTTTATGTTCTCGCTGAATTTTAATCATGATATATATTTTCTCTTATGTATTAGGAGTAATAATTTTCCTTGTTATATTTTTCTAACAGATCATTATTAATTTTTTGCTTGTTGTTACATTAGCCCAGGTCACTGCATGTTAGATATATGTTTTAAACTATCATTTTACATGTTATACTGTTATTTTTTATCTTTATGTTTTTTAAATTTTGGTAAAATCTATATAAAATAAAATTCAGCATCACAAACATTTCTAGGTGTATAGTTCAATAGTCTTAAGCATATTTATTGTTATGTATCTGTTTTCTAGAAGATTTTCATCTTACAACACTAAAATTCTATATTCATTAACAAGTGATTATTTTTCCCTCTGCCTACCTCTTGGAATCATTACACGTTTTGGCTCTAAGAATATGATTATAGTAGATATGTCATATAATTTGAATCATATAACTGTCTTTTTTGGGCTTATTTCAGTTAGCATATGTAGTCACTGTTCATGTTATAACATATATTAGAATTTCTTTCCTTTTCAATATATTCACATATCCCATTATATGTATATACCACATTTGTTTATGCATTTATCCACTGATGAACACTTGCATTTGACTATTGTGAATGATTGTGCAGTGAATATAGCTGTACAGATACCTCTTGAAGAGCCTGCCTTATTCCTTTTGATATATACCCAGAAATACAGTTGTTGGATCATACAATAATTCTATTTGTAATTTTTGAGGAATTACCATAGTTTTTTTATCATAGCTGTACCAGTTTACATTCCTCCCAACAATGAACAAGTCTTCCAGTTTTTCAGCATCCTCACCAAAACTTTTTATATTCTGTTTTCTGAATAAGGGTGTGAAGCATTATCTTATTGTGGCTTTGACTTGCATTTCTCTGATGGTTAATATTTTGAGGCAACATTTCATATGCTTGTTGGCCATTTGTTTATCTTTTTTGGGGAGCAATGACTATGCAAGCCTTCTGTCCATTTAAAAAACAAAGCTTGTTGTTGAGTTGTAGGAGCTCTTTATATATTCTGGGCATTAACTCCTTATCTGACATATTTTTGCAAAAAATTTCTCTCAGTAGATTGCCTACTTTATTGTTTATGTCCTTTGATGCATAAAAGTTTTAAATTTTGAAGTAGTCCAGCTTAGCTGTTTTTACTTTTGTTTCTTTTCTCTCTTTTTTCCTGTTTTGATGAGATATAATATGAACACAGTAAAGTGTGCTAATGTGAATTATATGGCTCAGTGCGTTTTTTGATTAATTTGCTTTTTTAAGAAAAAATGATACAAAAATGAAATAATAATGGTTAAGACACTGTGTATTATCCTCAAAGTAGTTACTCAAAATACAAGACATAAACCAAAAAGATTCTTACAGAAAATAAACAAACACATAACAACATAAAATATTCTTTTCCATGAACTAAGAAAAACTAGCATAAACAAAACAAATTAGCAAATATTTTGAATTATTTTTTAAACTAGAGAATATGTAATTTGGGGAAGTATTTGAATTTCCTGTTTATATCTCTCATGTTTTGTTCTATATTTTTTTTGTGTGTTTCTCATATAAGAGAAAACTTAAGATATTTGAGCTTGTGTGTCCGACTTCACTTAACATTATGGTCTCATGTTACATCCATTTAGCGACAAATGTCTTAAATTTGCAATATGGCACTCCGTTGTGTATAAATACTACATTTACCTATCTGTTGATGGATATATATGCTGTTTCTGAGATCTATTATAAATTGTGGTGCAATAAACATAGGTATACATTTTAACTCTTTTGGGAAGGTACCTAGAAGGGGGATATCTGGGTCAAATGGAATTTCTATTTTTAGTTTTTTTGAGCAATCTCCACTTGGTCATCTATTTTTCATCATCCTTGGAATTATCTTCTTATCTCTTTTATTTTATTTTATTTTATTTTATTTTATTTATTTTTCGTACCAGGGATTGAACTCGGGTCCTTGCACTTACAAGGCAGGCAGCATAACATCTGAGCTAAAGCCCTGGTGTTTTATCTCTCTTTTTTTTTTAGATCCTTGGTTTTCTTTATTTCCCTTGTTTTCCTAGGCACAGCCTCTGGTACCTGTTGATATTCCTGTGATACATTAGAAAATTAATTTCGAGAGAATTTTTACATCTTTATGATGTTGACTTATTCTTTGTAGAACATAATCTTAAATATATTCAAATAAAAAGTTGCATTTAAAAGTGTTCAAGTTTTCCTGATAATAATTTTGTACTTTTTTCTTAATTTTAATCTTAGATACTACAGTGTTTTTGTTCTTATAATGGGGCTTTATTTTTTCATGACATAATCAAATTGACTATTTTAACGTAAGTAAATATATACTTTTATATATGTGTACGTGTTTTATTAGGTAAAATGGTACATTTTAGGTTGATTATATATTTGCATACATATGTGCAATGATAAAGTCACAACATAGCTATATGCCGTCACATTTTTGTTTATGAGTACTTTATCTTCTGCAGTATATAGTTGGTATGTAAAAATGAATGCTCATAATATCTGATACCAATTTTTTGTCAGATTAAATAGATTTCTGGTTTAGGTAACTGGTATGTTAGTCTGATAGGGGAAAGAAACATTCAGTAAAATTATGGCTGAGCATGAATTATAATTGGGAAGGCAGGATAAACCTAGGAGAATCTTAAATAACAGACATAAGAATTTGTAATTCAGATTGCATAATTGAGAGTTATTAAAAACATTTGAACAGTTTAGAACAAAATTAGAAGAATGAACCTAATAGCAGGAAGGATGGAAAATCTTCTGTCTTTAATATTCAGTTAACTTTTTAAATGATACAATTTCTTTTTCTTCTCTGCTTAGGAAATTGAACTGAGCTCATTAAGGGAAGCTTTGTCTTTTGTGTCATTGATTGATGGCTATTACAGACTGACTGCAGATGCTCATCATTACCTCTGTAAAGAGGTGGCACCCCCAGCAGTGCTTGAAAACATACAGAGCAACTGTCATGGCCCCATTTCGTGAGTACAGCAGATTATATAAAAAAAAATTCTATACTCAGTAATCCACATTTGTCGATGAAATGGCACATTGAATTTTTTTTATTAGTATATATTTGTAGTACATAATGAATTGATCTGAACTGAATGATCTGTGTGGACTTTCTTATTTTCTAAACAATAGAGAATAACAACTGTTTACATAGCATGTCATTGTCTTGGGTATTATCAGTAATCTAGAGATGATCTGATGAATGTAGGAGAATATGTATGTGTTATATGCAAATTATGCCATTTTGTATAAAGGATTCGAGCTTCCACAGATTTTGATTCTGGAAACAACCCTTCAGGATGCAAACAGACAACTATAGATTTTATACAATAGATAATAGGCTTAGAAGTTTTGAAAAGTACAATATCATAGTCTCACAGTTTTTTAAACAAGCCTTTGTACTAAATCAGATTATATAATAATTAGAATTATTCAAGACATAATTTGGCCATCTGTGTCTCAATCTGTAATACTTACAACTTGTACAAGTTTAACATTTGATTGCTTGTGCATGCTTAATTAACTCTTGGGTATTACAAAACAACAGTAACAAAAATATGTGGTTGTGGCTCAGTGATAGAATGCCTTCCTAGCATGCATGAGGCCAAGGGTTTGAGCCTTAGGAATGCAAAACAAACATACCTCCAGGGTATATTTCTTTTTTGTTGTTGTTGTTTTTGTGGGTTTTTTTTTTTTTGGTTTTTTGAGACAGAGTCTCACTATATAGTTGAGACTGACCTGAAACTCACTATGTAGCCTAGGCTGATCTCGAACTCACAGCGATCCTCCTGCCTCAGCCTCCCAAGTGCTGGGATTATAGGTGTGAGCCACCATGCCTGGCTATAAGTTTTTGTTTTTTCCTGTACTGAGGATTGAACTCCAGACCTTGCACATGTGAGCCAGGTGCGGTTATTTCTTTAATTTTGAAATATTGCAAAAGAACCAAAGAATTAAATTTGAAAATTATGATTTTTTTTATAGTCTAACGACTTCTGCTAAAGCTTCAAACACAAAATGGATTTATGATGTACCTATTTCTAGCCAGGTGCATGCATAGAACTATTGTTTCACCTAAGTCATAGTTATCTCTAAACTCATTCTAGTTTGTAATTGATATCAAATTTAAAGAAGCTGAACAGAATTAAAATCTGGGATTATGAATTTAACCTACCTTGAAATGTTTGAGAAAATTTTTGTGTGTTAAATAATATTTAAGACTTGCCTCAGTCAGTAATTAATGTCTACATAGTTATAAGTACAGTTATTATGAAACATTGCACTATTCGAACATTATATAGGCAATATATATTATAAATCCTTTTCATGGTCCTTGCATTCATTCTTCTATTCACCCATATAATTCATTCATCTATAGTATATGTACTGAGTACCTACTAAATGCAGGCACTGGTTTACATATATGAGAAATATGTTGATAAGTTAAACGAAATGATTCCTACTTTTGTATTTGTGTTTCTTTCAAGATGTGCAGTTTTAAGCCAAGGGTGGTAGTGAGTGCATGCCTATAGTCCCACCACTTGGGAGGCTGAGTCAGGAGGATTGTGAGTCCCAGGCCAACCCAGCCTAAACTACATAGTGAGACCATTCTCAAAAACAAACAAAACCATACAAAAAAAGATGTGTAGTTTCAAAATTGTATCACAAGTTTTAAAACTCAGTGATCTTTTTTAATTATCATAGGTCTTCTATTATACTTTGATATTATACTAAATATTAAAACAGTGCACGTTTTTGTATTAGCAACTGCTTGATAAAAGAAACATGAGAAGTGTTTTCTGAACATCAGTATGGTTTTAAAAATACTAAATTTGTGATCAGAAAGCAGAAAATTCAGAGCAATGATTTGTTTATGATTTTATCTAATAATTTTATATATTTTTATAATAATATAATTCCCCCAATTTAATTTGCACCTACTGCAAAATAGCTTGGCACTTTGATTTTTCCCTTGAACATAATTAGGAAAAATAAAACAGGGGAGCCTTCTAAACATTGAGAATTTTAGATTTGACTTTTGATTTTTTTTATGACATCTCATCATAATGTCATGGTACTTGCTCTGTTGTCATTCAAAGTATTTGTTCTTTACCTTTAGAATGGATTTTGCCATCAGTAAACTGAAAAAAGCAGGTAATCAGACTGGACTATATGTACTTCGGTGCAGTCCTAAGGACTTTAATAAGTATTTTCTGACTTTTGCTGTTGAGGTTAGTATGTTACATTTATTAATAGTATGCATATTATTTAGCCTATGTGTTTATACTTCATATTTATGTATGTATTTATTATTTCTCTTATAATTCTCAGAATCATAGCTTTTGATATGATCTCTGGCATAATAATGTTTAATTTAGCTCAAGGATTAGACACAAGTAAACATAATTCCTAGGATTCATGTAAAAATACTACATGATATATATTGTCTTTCTTTTTATTTGGTATTCTTTTTATCTATATACATATCTATCTATCTTTGGGTTTTACTGATACATCAAATGGTGTTCCATCAAGTCATTGAACGTTTATTTTTTTCACAAAATGGAAAATCTTTAGCAAATTATATAGACTAAAATTAATCAGAAACAAATTGTGTTAAGCAACGGTTATTAATTAGTGGAACATAGGGCCATAACAAAGACATAGAAATATTATAACATTTTTAGTTAGTAATTTTCTAGAATTAAGAATAATGATCTACTATATATATTTTAAGTAAAAACTGCAATAAACTTCAGTATTAGTGCAGATCATCTTCAATTTCATCTATTATTTACTATCCAAAATTATTTTAAAATTTATCATTTATATGGTATAACTCTCTAGAAACTATATATCGTATTTATAGGCAACAATACTCTTTAACAGCATTATTATTCAATTGTTTTATTAAAGCAATCATCTTATATTTAGAGAATCATCTTATATGTAGAGATATTTTGCCTATAAATACAGAAGGTAGTTATTCCATCTGTTTACTATTGCCGAAAATTGGTAGTTTGTCCTAATTTCAGAATATCATCTTAGAATAACATAATATATAGTCTATTGTAATGAATTATAGATTCAAAAAATATATTTTGCTGTTTAGTATATGTACCCAGACTATTATTGATAATATGTATTAGGGAATATATGGTATATCCCTATCTTGAAGAAATTACTTTAGGAAAAAAGTATACCAAAAAATACTAAATTGAGAATATGATTATCTACTACAGGCAAATAAAGACTATAATAGAAAAAAGTATAGTTATTATCTTTTGGAGTAGGAAGAATTGAGGATGTTTTTTGTAAATGATTTTAAATACAATGAATATGCTTTTAAAAGCTCAAAATATTAAGATTAAAGAAAAGTTCATAATATAATGCATAAGAAATATTTTTAAACTGTAAAATATTTAAAATGTCATATCAGAGCTAACACAATAGATAGAATGGGTATTTACCATTGCTTATTAAATGCAGTATTGTTAGAGAGGACCTTGAGAAAGCAGTACTTGAAGTAAGTTTTAAAGAGTGAACAAAAGTTCACTACTTAGGAGAACAGGTCCATTCATAGTAGAGAATATTAGAGAGATACATTTATCAAGGCATGAAACATTGTAAAAGTTGCTTGAAATTATTTAAGACATTTAATATAGCTAGAAAGAAGTTTTATGTAAGAAGTGGTAGGAGTTGGAGATGGTGAGAAACAGCTCATGAAGGCTCCATTTGCTTTACTAGCTGTAGACTTTATCTTTTAAATTACGGAAAGCCATTAAGGATGGTAATTACTATTATTATTATTAATTCTTGATTTATTAATAAAAATAAGCTCTCGAGCCACTTTTGTAGATTATGATGCTGTAATTAGATTCCGTTTTGAAGAACCAAGATCCTCTTATCACCATAATAGCTCCACATTAGGATTCACAGTTCTAATGTCTGAATATTTTGTTGGTTGTTTTTGTGATACTTCTTTTGGCAGAATAATCTTTATGGAATCTATTGTGATTTTCCCTCCTTCTCTTTATAATTAAACTTCTATAGCGAGAAAATGTCATTGAATATAAACACTGTTTGATTACAAAAAATGAGAATAGAGAGTATAACCTCAGTGGGACTAAGAAGAACTTCAGTAATCTTAAAGATCTTTTGAATTGCTACCAGATGGAAACTGTTCGCTCAGACAGTATAATTTTCCAGTTTACTAAATGCTGTCCTCCAAAACCAAAAGGTAAAATAATCTTCCAGTTATTTTACAAATACTGTCAAGGATTGTTTCTGGGGTAGGAGGTATCTTTAGTACATTGATTTCAAGAGAAATATAAAAGAAGCCATCCACAAGCAAATTAATTTGTCTTACTCTGTTGTACAAGCATCATCAGATTAAGATAATTTGATATGAATTATTTGTAAGCAATTTGAAGTTTTGTTATTTTAGCATAAAATGACACTTTAAGGATAATTTCTTGTTATTAATCAGTTACTAACTTACTGAACCAGAAGCTCTCGCTGTGTTAAGAAAAAATTTTCATTTGGGTTTAGAATTTTAATTTTTTTAAATGAAGATAGTAAAGTTGAAAACCCCTTGAATGAGTCTCATTATTAAAAATTATTAAAATTATACTACTTAAGGAAGTAGCTATAATTTTGAATGTTTAAAATAATTGGTAATAGTACATCAAAATTCAATTGATAAACTCCAAAAATCATTTTCTATGAAGAAGATGAATAGTAAGTTTTTAAGCATTTCTTACATGTAGACCTCATTTTATTCTTCTTTGTAACAATTCATATTTTCAATGTGTTTTGAAGCAATGTAGACAAACATATATACACATAAATATATATTTTACTATTTTTTTCCAGATAAATCAAACCTTCTAGTCTTTAGAACCAATGGTGTTTCTGATGTATCAACTTCACCAGCATTACAGAGGCATAATAATGTGAATCAAATGGTGTTTCACAAAATCAGAAATGAAGATTTGATATTTGTAAGTGTAGATACAGATTACTTTTCCTTTTATAAAAACATCTATTTTCTTAATTTCCTACCCCATGTTAGGGTCCTGTAATATATGGAACTATTTTGTTATAATCTATAGTATAAAAATGTAGTTAGTATCTAAACATTTTTATTTGTTATGAAAAATATACTAACCTTTTAAGAAATTAGCAAAATTATTTTAAGAATGAGATTATATTCTTTTCAGAATTTAAAAATATTTCTTTACAAATCTTAAAAATAATCTAGATAAGTCCCACATCTTCTCAAGTTCTCATGAAAGTAAGGGAAATTCAACAGATTGAAAATAAATAAGAAACTGAAGACAAAATAGTATATAAGAGCTGATGATTTAGCTATCAGATGGTTTTGAGTAGAGATTAGTCTCATTTATCACAGGGGTTCAAACTAAAAGCAGTGCAAAGAAGGTCTTGGGCCTGTGAATTGTTAGGAGTTAAAAGTGAGAGCCTGTATTACTGAATAAAGCCAGGATCCTTATAGACATACATGTTATATTACCAGAGGGTTCAGTCCGTGGTAGGCTGGCTGTAAGGCAGAAAAGCCTCAGGGAGGAAAGTACTCGATGGCAGCCAGGAAACAGAGATATAAACCTCCAAAGACACTTCTAAGTAATCTATGAATGCGTCAATAGATCAATCCACTGATGAGTGTAGTATCTCATGATCCAGTCACCTTCTACTTCTGAACACAAGAGACTTTTGGGGGACATTTTAGATATAAAACATAACACATCTTCAATGAAACAACACATGAAATGTGAATAATTTACCCACTTACAAAGGAGGAACAGAGAAAGGAAAGAAGAAAAGAATGTTATATATTTTAGTTGGAGTCTCAGGACAAAGAACCTCTTCTAAGAATTTATAAAGAAAACATTTTGAATTTGGATTTCTTTATATGACCTGTATGATTGGAGAAACACTAAGCCAACATATTAAAAGTGGTATTGGAGCAACCCACTTTCTGGTCCCCCTTCTGTCTCTTAGACAGAAACTTTCTTTACCTCAATAAATTTTTCCTACTCTTAAAAAGAAAAAGTGGTACTCCTCTGATACCCTAATCATGCATGAAGAAAATAAATACAGAATCTTTTTGGAAGAATACACTCTTAAGTTAGACTACCCAGATTTACCATGGATAAAACCACTCCAAACATGAGTTTTTAGTCTGAATTTAGAAATATAGAGGAAATAATCTAGGATTAAGTAAGGATCAGCAGATCAAACAGCAAAATTATACTTTTAAGAGCTTCATATAATATTCAGAGACTATAAAATACACATGTATGCTTAAGAAATAACATAAATTGAAAACACGGAAAAATAAAACATTTAAAAATGAAAGACATTATTTTAAAAGAAATTTGAGAGGTGGGTGTGATGGCACACACTTGTAATACCAACATTCAGGATTCTGAGGCAGGAGGATTATCACAAATTCAGCTTGGGCTGCATAGTTCAAGTCTAGCCTAAAATACATGTAGATATGTAGATAAACATTGACTCTTTAAAAAAAAAATCGTAATTATGTGGGCCAGGGGTTTAGATCAATGGTGCCACCATCTGCCTTGCAAGCTCAAGATCCTGAATTTGATCTCCTATACCAAAAAGAAAAAAAAAGAAAAATTGTAATTGTAGCCAGTACAGTAGGTTTAAAAATAGGGTGGAACCAAAAATGCACTTTACTCATTAACTGTTGTCTTCTATCTTTAATTACTGTTTAAAGTAGAAGAAATTAATTTGGGAGTCTCACATCTATCTTTAGTTTTTAAGGGAAATATTTATTCATGGTTTTTTTAAAAAATGTTTTGACATTTAATGTGTTTCTTAAATTCTTAATTCTTCTATTTCTCCATCTTTGCTCAATTCTCTTCTTTTTTACCCTTTTTTCTTTTAAAGAATGAAAGCCTTGGCCAAGGGACTTTCACAAAAATTTTTAAAGGAGTAAGAAGAGAAGTAGGAGACTATGGTCAACTTCATGAAACAGAAGTTCTATTGAAAGTTCTGGATAAAGCACACAGAAACTATTCAGAGGTGTGTATGTTCTTTGGGTAGTCCATGTAGTTTGTACTGTATGTGCATTCATGTGCATGTAACTATTTGTGCATGCAGCTATGCAAAATTAGAATTTTAAAAAGTATATCAAGGACCTTTTTGAAGATGCTTTTGGATGATGCTGTAGAAAATTATAGGATTTTAAAAATAGCATATTTTTCAACATATTCCTTTCAGCTTTGTATTATGCATATTATTATATCTCTGCAACAATAATACATCTTTGAGGCAATAGCTTTTAAAATTGGCATTCCAGAGCTTTATGGGTTCCATAGAGGTTCCTCTATAATTTCATCTACTAAAAAAAGAAGTTTGAAAGCCACTGTACTGAGCAACACTGAGTAAAGTATTGATGCCTGTGGTTGTCATCCAGAAGTGCTACCAGGCGGAAACTCAGCAGTCAGTTGCCAGAGTCCTGAACATAGCAAGACATCATCAGGGATGACAAAATACATATTTATGATACTTAGAATGTTTTAAAAGATGTAAATGGAAGATGATGTGAAGCATATAAACCAGAACGTTTTTCTGATCCAGAACATCATAGTGTTGGTGATCATGATCCTCTGAACAATCATTCCTAGAAGTTTCTGTCCAAGGCTAGTTGTTAGAGTGATTTTAATACCACGCCATAATACTGACATAAGTATGATGATATTTATCTGCACGGAGACCTCTATTAATTATTTAGGAACCATTATTTAAAGCTCACATCCATCTATCACAGTCCCCTATCATGTCTGGTGTCAGCCTCTAGTTGTACCTATTCTCTATTCTTCGTGTTAACAGGTCTCAGAGTATTTGACTTGTATCATTTGTGGTACCCATTACCACCATTGCTTTCTCTCATTGGTGTGTCTATATTCTAAGATTATTTGGGGGTTTCCTAAAAATGAACCCTAACATCAAGGTTGATGGCAGCTTGCAAATCCAAATAAAGGAACCAAATCACATTGTAATCATATCTGAAGTCCTACTAAGAGTAGGAGAAAGTACATTTCATTTTTGGCAGGGAGTATCTTTCTGAATGATGTATACTTACAACAGTGAAACAGCTGGGCACGGTAACAAGCACATGCCTGTAATTGCAGCACTCAGGAGGCTGAGGTATAAGGATTATTGCAAGTTTGAAGCCAGGCTAGGCTACGTAGGGAGCTCAAGACCAGCCTAAAGTAGATGGCAAGACCTTGTCTCAAAAAGCAAAACAAAGCAAAAACAGCCAAACAATAATTCTTTTGCATTTGTTATTTTCTTTCCCTTAGTCTTTTTTTGAAGCAGCAAGCATGATGAGTCAGCTTTCTCACAAGCATTTGGTTTTAAATTATGGTGTATGTGTCTGTGGAGAAGAAAGTAAGTAAAACCACTGGCTTTCTTATGTTAAATTATGCCTCTCTCAATGAATCCATTGTTGCTTATGTAAAATTTCAATATCAAGATCACACATATCAGTCTAAATTATAATCCAATAGGAATTATATATTGCCCGACCTAAAAAACATTATAGGACTGTTCACTTATGCTTGTGAAAAAATAAATCAATAAATGAAGTTAAATTGCAGAAGACAATATAACTTATGTTACAGTGCCCAAACAATAGCATATTATACTAAACAAATACAGCTTTTTGTGTTTATTATAGCAGTACAGATTTGGCTAGTTCAACATAACATTGGAACAACTGGCCCTTTCACTACAAAATTATTTGGAATTATGAAGAGAAAGCATATAAATTATAGGCTGAATTATTAATGGAACTTACTGAAATCTATTGATACTAGATACTAGATTTTTCAGATGTGATGGAATGATATGTATGTTGTGTCATACTTATATGTTATATGAAATTATATATCATATATATTTATTTAGGTTAATATGTCTTGCTGTTATAAATAAAGCCCAAACTGAAAGATACAAGGTTATATATTCATTGTTTCCTTTAAACTAGTGAATTTTGCTTAATTTCTTTACTTTATTTCCACATATAAACATATATATCTAAATTATATATTTTAGTTGTATATATACTGGAGCCTTATTATTGCCTATATTTTAATGCAGATATTCTGGTTCAGGAGTTTGTAAAATTTGGATCATTAGATACATACCTGAAAAAGAATAAAAATTCTATAAATATATTATGGAAACTTGAAGTGGCTAAACAGATGGCATGGGCTATGCATTTTCTAGTAAGTAATTAATATATTCTTTTTTAATAAAAACATATTGTTTTATCTTATGAAGCAATCTAGAAGTCATCCTGGCACCAAGAAATCTGAATAGATGCTGAGTCATTCAGAATAGGTTAGGTGGTAAAAGGGATTATTTTAGACATGTGCTTATTTAGGTAAAATCATTTTTGAAACAATTTTGTAATCCTTTCATCTCTTGGAACTACTTATAGACAATCTGTAGTTTGTGTTACTTAGATCTATAAAACTTAATCTGAATTTATGTTGAAACAGGTTGTGTTTTTATGAATAATAGAGAATACATTTTCATTGTATCTCTGGGCAATTGGACATCAGCATTCAATAAGAAAGGAGTAAGGACAGAGAAGCAGAGAACCAGAGGGCTAGCCAGTTCCTACTCCTCAGAATATACCCATGTTCTATTGAACTGAAAATATTTTCTACAAACCATTTAGGGTCTCAGGTTTGAAAGATGGAATAACTTTGAGTAGCTTTAATTTATTCATTTCATCATGGATATATATCATTGTGTCAAATGGCATATAAAACAGGAAGTGCTGTCATAAAACTTCTTTTTATTGTCTTACAGCATGCCTCCAAATTAGTATTTACATTGTTGTCTTACATACTTTCTTTAGACTATTGGGGCCTTGACCAACCATATTAAATACTCAAACATTTGTGGAATGATGTTTGAATGTATGTGCATTTAATTTTTTTTTGCATTTAATTTTAATAGGAAGAAAAAAACCTTATTCATGGAAATGTATGTGCCAAAAATATTCTACTTATCAGGGAAGAAGACAGGAAGACAGGAAATCCTCCTTTCATCAAACTTAGTGATCCTGGCATTAGTATTACAGTTTTACCAAAGGACAGTAAGTTCTATATTTAACTTTATTAAGTGTTACTTGGATAATACCATTAAAAATGTTAATTTTCCTTGAACTCTTAATTTTTTGATATGTGCTTGATTAATCATAGCATGTAGCTATCATTTGCAATTTAAATTAAGTTATAGTTGTATCCTGTTCTCTGTCCATTTCTTCTTAGAAGTATGTCATCACGAACTATGAAATAATTTTAAAATAGTTTCTTTTTGTTGTTGTTTTTTGAGACAGGGTCTCACTATGTAGTTGAGACTGACCTGGAACTCACTATGTAGCCCAGGTTGGTCTCGAACTCACAGCAATTCTCCTGCCTCAGCCTCCCAAGTGCTGGGATTACAGGCGTGAGCCACCACACCTGGCACTTAAAATAGTTTTAATTCCTAGTCATGTATGGTAGGATTTTATTTATTTTTAATGTAAAAATTTTAAATATTATTCATTGTGCCATGATAAATCTTTTTAAAAACTTCTTTATTCACTAAAATTTTTTTGAAAATATATATTATTTAGCTTGATATGTTATTTAATTATTTAGCTAAATCTGACATTTTAAGTTTTTTTAAACTTTCTCTTGTGTCTTTATTTTCTACATAATACAGTAAGTTAAAAGTAAAAATTCCAGTCAAATGCTGAGTGCAGTTTTTTTGGTTGAAATGTTTTAATTGTGCTTCATTATCTTAGCTAATTTCTCCAGTTGAATATTCTGAATTCAGAATCAAAGTTGATCGATTTTTGTGGATTGATGCATAGTATCCTATTTGAATCAGTATACTTAAACTTGATGGCTTATTCAATAGTGAAGACAGTAGTATTAGGATAGTAGCATGGGGAAGAAAATCTTCTAGTACTCAATGAAATTTTAACCTTTGGAATGGCTGGTAAGCATGAAGAAAAATGTATTTATATTGTCAAGGAGAGGGGAATCAATGTCTTCTTTCATTTCTTGATTATAAGCAAAAGTATTCACACTGCTTTACCAAAATATGTAACAGATTATCCTTCATTCTTACCTATTTATCTGTCTATGTCAGAATACTACCCTTCCACAGAAACTTTACTTGAACAATTTTATGATCTAACTACTAGAAGTTACCAATTCCATACCTAGAATATCCTGATACAACTTAGTCATTCATCTGCTGTAATGATAAATGCCTGTTGTCCTTATGTGTCTGCAAGTCAGAATGGCCACTATTATGAAATCATTAAAACATCATCAATATTGTAAAATTGCTTTTACTATTTACATATTGTAAATATTGTAAAGTTCTAAAAATATATTGAGAAGCAATTTTAAGACAAATTTTATAGATCTTTTACTTTTTTGAAAGGCAGAACTACTAAGGAGAGGCAGAGAGAGTGGGATACCAGTAGAGACACTTATTCCCTTAAGTTTAGTTGATCTGGAATTCACTGTACAGACATCCCTCATTTAACACCTGAGTTCAGATCACACAACTGGGTTGTCATTGAATTGGTTGCTAAATGAGGGATTGTATATAGTATGTACATTATAATATACAAAACAAAAAAGTGGTCAAAGGAAACTCCAACTTTATGCTTTGCTTTTATTTGCATAACTCTCACATGCATTAATAGAATTAGAACATAAAACTACAGTACTGTACAGTACAATCATAAAAATTATAGTACTGTATAAACAAGGTGTACTGTACAAAGAAGACAATGCAGCTCTATAAACCAGATGTACTGTACAAAAAAGACAATTCTTAAGTCTGAGTGGTGGGCCATAAATCTGAACAGTCGTTAAACAGGTAGGTCATGAAAGAAGGAATATCTGTGTTTTGTCCCTGTACTAACAAATTTGTAGTTAATCATTGTGCATCAGTGTTGTTACTGGGTTTTTTCTTGTCTTTCTTTTTTTTTGGGGGGGGGGTACTTTGGGATGGAACTTGGGCCCTTAGGCTTGCGAGGCAGATGCCAGAACCACTGAGCTAAATACCCGGACCTTACTGTTAAAGCTTAGATATTGAATTAGATGATCTCAAATGTTGCCTCAGCTGTTAAGCTTATGCACACATGAACATGAATACTCTACATCTAACAAAAAAGATTTGATTATTGAGATGAATCTGAAAACTGCATATAAAATAATTGTTTACCTATAGAGATTAATTATTCTTTGTTCCTATCATTTAAAAGTTCTTCAGGAGAGAATACCATGGGTACCACCAGAATGCATTGAAAATCCTAAAAATCTAAATTTGGCCACAGACAAATGGAGTTTTGGTACCACTTTGTGGGAAATCTGCAGTGGAGGAGACAAGCCTCTGAGTGCTCTAGATTCTCAAAGAGTAAGTTGATACAGACTTAAGTTAGAATTACTGTGTCTGTAATCCACCATATTTCTTTTTCAGATTCAATATATTAATTGTAAAAGCACATCTTAATTTTAAAAAGAAGTTTGGTACAGAGTTGTACAATTTATTCTTAACATTTGATTATCTAATCTTAGAAACTACAGTTTTATGAAGATAGGCACCAGCTCCCTGCACCAAAGTGGACAGAATTAGCGAACCTTATAAATAATTGTATGGATTATGAACCAGATTTTAGGCCTTCTTTCAGAGCCATCATCCGAGATCTTAACAGTTTATTTACTCCAGGTATTTATTGATCACTATTCATCTTGTTGTATTTAATGAATGTTTATTAATTTTGTAATCCCTTCTCAAAAGTTCCTTATCATCTCTTAATTTCTTATGTTCATATATGTTTTATGCTTTATACACCTTCTAATCTCCTTGCACAGTCTGCACAGTCTTAAGGCCTTTTTCTCCATCAATAGCCTATTTATTTGAATAAGAAAAAGAACAGCTGGGTGTGATGGTGTACACTGTAATCCCAGCACTTGGAAGACTGAGGGAGGCTGAAGCAGGAAGATCTCTGTGAGTTTGAGGTCAGCTTGGGCTACACAGTGAGTTCAAGGCCAGGCTGAACTATATAGTGAGACCCTGTCTCAAAACAAAAATAAAAACAAAAACAAAACAAAAAAATAAGAACAAACAAAACTTATTACATGCCTATGTTAGACTCATACCTAATTTATTTTGCCAATTAATGGGAAGTATTAATTTGCCAATTAATAACTGCATCAACTTTTTAATAACTTGGTTTTTAAGTAGTTGCCATATAGTTTACAATTGATTAATTTTCTAAACATAAGGTAGATTTGTTTTTGTTTGTTCTGATATTTAAAATATTGAGCTAAATATGCATGTGGTTGACCCATAGGTACTTTTTGCTTCAGTATTACTTACCATTCTCACTACAAAAAATCAAAATATGACCTATTTCATGATACTAAAACTACCTATTTTAGAAAGTAATCTTTTATTCTTTCGAAAATCTTTAAAAGCCCATCAGACTGTGGGTAATAAAGAATTTCATTAGTATAATTTAAACCATTTGCATTTCCCTGTATCAAGCGTATTTCTAACTCATTCTGGCTATTTTATCAACTTGAATATATATATATATCAGTTTAACCTGAAGAATGTGTTTGCCATTTTAAGCTGGTGATATTCTTTATTTTCCAGATTATGAACTATTAACAGAAAATGACATGTTACCAAACATCAGGATAGGTGCCTTAGGGTTTTCTGGTGCTTTTGAAGACAGAGACCCTACACAATTTGAAGAGAGACACTTGAAATTTCTACAGCAACTTGGCAAGGTAAATTGTTTTTTAAGTTTTGCAAATAAAATATTTTATTTAGGACCAGAAAAAGCTGCAGAGAGTCTCCAAAGTGCACTTCCTATGGAGATTTTAAGGGATATGTGTTAAAATGTTGTTTAAAAAAAAAAGGAGTCAGTTGCCAAATGTTTGAAAAAAGCTATGCTACATAAACAGCTTTCTTGACTGAAGAATTTAGAGCCTTTAACACATAATGTGCATTGAACTTCAAGATAATAAGTTTGGATAATAAGTTAGGCAGTTCTTCCATAGTCGATTTGATCACAATCCCTTTGTTCAGCAGGGAGAGTTTGCATTTATTATAAGCAAATCAGTACAATACAGAAAGGAACATTTGGGTGTCAGGTAGGCCTTACACTCTCATCTGAGGCTTGACTGAGGAAGATCTCCTAGTTCAACTGTTGATGGCTATTTCCCAGATTTAGCTATTAAAACTTATGTAGCTGTAAACACGAGTATGTATTACAACATGTGTGTATGCATGTATCATGGGTAAATATGATTACTTTAACTCTTGGGACAATTCGTATGTCCATAGTGTTTGTACTCATTTACACTACCACCAACAATGTAAAAGGATTCCTTTTTCCTCCCATAGGAGAGAAGGCTGTGGTGTTTTTTCTTGTTATTATAAGAGCAGCAGATTAGAGTCATTCATGGGAAAATGGATGCATATAGAGGATATACTCTTAAGTGAAATAAATAAGTCACACATAGGTAAATACTGAATAGTTTCTCTGGTGTGAAAAACTAATTGTACATAAGATCCTAATGGTGTAATTGACAATGTGAAATAGGAAGCAAAGGGCTAAAGGTGTAGGGGAAGTGGGAAGGGTAGGGGAAAGAAAACAAGGGGAAAGAAGAAAAATATAAGAAAATGAAAAACTGGAAATAAATTATTTGTAAATAGGGAAGGAAGGTAAAGGGAGGGCAGGGACAAGGGGAAAAAATGAGAACCAATACCTGTCATGTAAAGGTACAAGATCCCAATGATGAGTGTAACTACTGTATACCTAAAATGTACCAATAAACTCAATGAGGAAAAAAAAAAGAGCAGCAGCATATTCCATTAGAGCCCCACTTTTATATCCTCTTTTCACTTTTAGTACTTTTTCACAAGGCCTTATCTCAAAATACAATCACACTGGAAATTAGAAGTTAATCAAATAAATTTCAGAGGGCACAGACATTCAGTCCACATCAGGTCTTTATTTCATCTAGATCACTAAAACTAGTATCAAAGGATATATTGTATATATATTTTTTGGTTGGTTGTTTTTTGGGTTTTTTCTTGGTACTGAGAATAGAGGACACGTTGTAAAGAAGGAAAGTTCTTCCTCAAAATGGTGACAGAAATTTAGGAGTCCTCTAGCATGTCTATTTGCTTATCCTAACAATTAATGTTTATCATTTTTTCAAATCGCTTTTTGAAGTACTTTATGTTTTAGTCTGTAATTTTTCTTGAAGAAATTAAATTTATAGGTTTACTACTACCCAGTCTGTTGAGATCATATTTCCTTTTCTTGCTCAAAAAGTTGCCTCATGTAAGCTTAGATACATGTCTACTAATTCTTGCAGCTAGGGTTTCCTATATTATAAGAGTTGATTAATAATTTATCTTGAAGCCAGAGATTTAGCTCAGTGGTGCTACTGCCTGCCTCCCAAGTGTCCCAAGTTTGATCCCCTGTACCAAAAAAAAAAAAAAAATTTGTCTTGAAAACTTGAGGTTTCCCTTCCTAATGTAGCATGTTCTTTAGGGTAATTTTGGCAGTGTGGAGATGTGCCGGTATGACCCTCTACAGGATAACACAGGGGAGGTGGTAGCTGTAAAAAAGCTCCAGCACAGTACTGAAGAGCACCTCAGAGACTTCGAAAGGGAAATTGAAATCTTGAAATCCCTACAGCATGACAACATTGTAAAGTACAAAGGAGTCTGCTACAGTGCTGGTATGTTGCCCAGTAAACCTATTTTAAACTTACAGTATGTCTTTGGCATCCTAGGTAATAGAAACATAGAATGTCTGAAGTTCCGTACTTAACCATGTGCCTGTACTGAGAGAGTTATGCATTCCATATGACTAGAGATTGTGTGTAGTGATCATGGACTGCAATTATAGGAAGTCTTCATCTTGTTGATTATTTTCTTCACCACTTGCTTAAACTTAAGAGAATTTTATTTTTAAAATTATATTTAATTAAAAATTAAATTATATATATTTATATAAAAATTATATTTCAGCAGCACATATACTAAAATTGGAATGATACAGAGAAGATTAGCATGACCCCTGAGCAAGAATGACATGCAAATTTGTGAAGCATTTCATATTTATGTTTGTTTGTTTGTTTGTTTGTTTGAGACAGGGTCTCACTATGTAGTTGAGACTGACCTGGAACTCACTGTGTAGCCCAGGCTGGTCTCGAACTCACAGCGATCCTCCTGCCTCAGCCTCGCAAGTGCTGGGATTATAGGCATGCGCCACCACATCCGGCCAGCATTTCATATTTTTTAAAAAAACTGTATTTGCTTATATATTTTATCAAAATAATATTTTTAATTACATGATTTAGTTCAACATGAATGAAAAAAGAAGTTTTATCAAGAAAAAGTGTTCTTATCAACTATGGTTTGCCTAAAGAAATAAAGAAGACTAAAACATAATTATTTTTAGAGCTTCAAAATTTTTGAATTCAGAGACCCTGTAATACGGTATCATCTTTGATTTTATAATAAAATGTTATCATCTTAGACCTGGAGGGGAGGGAGAGACCACTTATACAGTATTTAAGTAATAAATTACATCAAAGTATAAACATTCTGTTCCATCTGTTTATTCAAAGGCCGGCGTAATCTCAGATTAATTATGGAATATTTACCATATGGAAGTTTACGCGACTATCTCCAAAAACACAAAGAACGGATAGATCACAAAAAACTTCTGCAGTACACATATCAGATATGCAAGGTACCTAATATTCTAGTTATATTTTGTAGATGGAGTGAGAATGTTGAAGTGATTAAGAAATTCTTTAGACTATTTCTTAGCTAAAAAGGGGGAATTTATGAAAGTAAAGCCATTTAAATTATTTATACAACCAGCTGAAAAAAGGATGCTATCTTAACCACAGGGTATGGAGTACCTTGGCACAAAAAGATATATACACAGGGATCTGGCAACAAGAAATATTTTGGTGGAGAATGAGAACAGAGTTAAAATTGGAGACTTTGGATTAACCAAAGTTTTGCCACAAGACAAAGAATACTACAAAGTGAAAGAACCAGGTGAAAGTCCTATATTCTGGTGAGTACAGTGTTTTTCACTAAATTAAAAAATTTATAATACAAACTGAAATTTTTATTTTAGTTATTTAATACATAGTAATGAATTTAATAATGTTTAATTTTTATTGTAGACAAATATGTGCTTTACATTGGGCTAAATGTATTTCATGGATTATCTCATTTAATCTTCATGACTCTTGGAAAATATATATTATTACAAATGAGCATTCCTAAGATGAAAATCCAAAACCCAAAACATTAAAATTGGAAGCCTTTTGAATACTAATATGACACTCAAAAAGTTGCAGATTTTAGAGCATTTCAGAATTGGATTTTCATCTAAGGATGCTGAACTACTGAAATCTATGTAAACATTGCAAGATCTGTAAACCTGAAGTCTGAAATACTTCAGTTAAAATTGTCAATTAATTGTGAGAAGTATTCAAAGTTCATTTTTTATTTTGTATATATTTCCAGTGGACTTTAATTCTGGGTTTATTTTTCTACTAAAATAATATAATTAGCCAAATGTAGTTTGAGTCAGAGTTGCTATCTTTAGACGTGCAGAGATGTATCCTGAAATAATGGTTGAAATACTACCGTGTCTGGGATTCACTTTTTCTATATCCAGTGGAAGTGGTATAGAGAGTAATGTATGAAACATGAGGCAATGAGTTTAACTGGTATATGGTAATTCATTGTTCTCTAATTTGTACAGGTTTTTTTGTTTTCATAATATTAAAAGCAAATTTCAAGGAATGGCCTCATGATTATCATTAGTATTATCTACATCAAATTGAAATAAGATTCATCTAAATATGACTATTTATTTTGGTCAGGTGCCCAAATGATACATGAATTTCCCCAGAGTGAGAAATTAAACAATTGAATAGAATTAATTGGTAATTTAATAAATATTGGTTATGGTCCAATAATTTGGGCAAATTTAATGAAAATAATTAATAGACATTTTTTAAAGTACCTACTGTGCTCCAGAAACCATACAGAGAGCTTCAAATAAGAAGATAGAGCCAGGCATGGTGGTGCACACCTGTAACCCAGCACTCAGGAGGCTGAGGCAGGATTGCCTGAGTTCAAGGCCAGCCTGAACTATATAGTGAGAACTTGTCTCAAAAAAGCATTAAAAAAAAAAAAAAAAGATTAGCATCAGAAAAGAAAGATTGTCCCTAAATAGGTAGGCTGAACTAAAATGAAAAAAAAAAAAATTTTTTTTTTGGAAGGGGTATTCAATTCACAGGTCCACTACCTCCAATCTGGTGATGTGAACCTTTCAGAGCCCAAGTGCCAAACTGCAACCCAAAATCTACATATTTATTATACTGCAATTAAACCTGAATATAGAGGTTTTAGTTTCAAAAAAGCAACTCATACATTAAAATCTTTCGTCTTAAAAGAAAAACACATTAATACCCATGCCATAGGTTGTCACTATTGTTCTAATCCCTTCTCTTAAAGGGCCGATAATTTTTTAAAAAATCAGATATATAATCAAATTTCAATGCAGTGTGGAAATGCAATAATAAAGATAATGAGGAAACAAGAGTGCAAATAATTCTGCAGATGGTTTAAATCAATGAGAGAAAACAGTAACTAAGAGAGGACTTTTCAAATATGATTAGTTTACCAGATAGAAGAAAGGCATTCTAGGAGGAAGTTGACAGGGAGAGAGAATCAGGGGCATAATAATCACAGAAAAAGCAAGGAGTAACGGGACTGGAAAGAGCCCTGCTATGGTTCGAATGTTGCCAGTGTGATAGTATTAGAGGGAGGACTTGAAGAGATAATTAGGCCATAAGGCTGCTTCCATGAGTGAGATTAAGGCCTTTGTGAGAGTTTGGCCCTTCTTGTTCTTCTGCCTTTTTCCATAAGGGGATGCAGGGCTCCTCCCCTTTGGAGGACGCACTATTAAGACCATTTTAAAAGCAGAGAGCAGCCTTTACCCAACAGCCAAATCTGTCCATCTATATACCATGCCCTTGGACTTCCCAATACATTTCTGTTCTTTCTGAAATATGAAGTGTCAGGTATTGTTAGAGCAGAACAAATGGCCCAAGAGAAGCCCTGCATGCCATGTTGATGAGTTTGGACTTCATTCAGTAGACAGTGTGTAAAGTGGGAAATTTGAGGCTTTGTCAAAGTAAGTAACATAGTGAAACTCATGTTTAAGGTAGGTTTATTTTTGGTAAAGTACCAAATGTTTTATAGTAACATTAAGGTATTATTTGTCTTTTCACTGTCATTTTTTTCATGGATATATAGTGGAATTTTCCAGATGCTCATGGCATGTTTAACCACACATTAAAAAGACATCTAACAATGTAAAAAAAAAAAAAGCTACTTTTCTCACAAAAAATTATTTGTTAACATGTAATGAGGTTATTTATATTTTAAATGAATTAAATACTTTTCCATTTTCCTGGTTTTAATATCTGATATGGCAAATATTAGTAGATAAAACCCACATAAAATTTTTTAGGGGACCTTAATAATTAAGAGTTGCAGAGTAATCTGAGACTCAAAGACTGATATTGAGTGCACATTATATTAAGAAGAGGCTAATAGGGTCTGGGAATTTAGCTCAGTGGTGCCAACGCCTGTCTCACAAGTGAAGGTCCTGAATTCCATCCCTGGTACCAAAAAAAGAAGAAAGAAAGAAAGAAAAGGCTAATAATAGCAGAAAGTCAGCAAAAAAGGTAGATTTTGCAGGAATCTAGGTCATTGCTTTTCAAATCTTTTTATATTTATACCCAAAATAATTTTTAAAACTGTCCTATCTTCTCATTTTAAAATTGACTGTAAAAATTGTTTAAAGTTTTAAGTAGTTAAAATAATGTATTTTCTAAATTACTATAAACATCCTTTATTTTCTCCTTATACTTATATTTCTACTTACTCAAAATTGTACATAAAGTGTTGTATTTTGTACCTGGAAAAATTTGGGGTCATCTATTTTGTTTGTAGCCAAAATATACATAAAAAATGTATTTCTCACAATTCTGGAGGCTGGGAATCTGTAGTAAGTTCAGTTGTCTTGTGACATGTGCCCTCTGCTTCTTAGATGTGCCTTGATGGTGCATCCTCTGGAGGGGAGGAACACCGCATCTCCACATGGAAGAAGGTGGAAAGACAAGTGGGCCAATGGAGTGTCTTTTGTAGGGGTGTATGCATGAGGGAGGAGCTCTCCTGGCCTAATCATCTCTCAAAAGCGTCCCTCTTAATACGATCACACTGATCGTTAAATTTCAACACATGAATTGTTGGGGGAGCACATTCAAATCCTAGAAAATACTAAATCAAATCTGAAAGAAATCACATTTCAACATCATATATCTTTTTAAAAATCCAATTTCCTTTTTTTCTCATATTTTTTTCTTTTCCTACTTTCCTTCCCCTTTGAACCTTTTCTTCCTCTTTCACATTATGTATTATAAATTTTGGTCCTCGTTTACACTTTCAGTTTCTCACACCAGAGAAACCATTTGGTATTTACATATGTGTGTTGTATTTATTTCACTTAAGAGTAAGACATCCATTTAAGAGTATGCATCCATTTGAAAAGACAGAAAACAAAACAGAAACAAAGCTTTTGTAAATAGGGAGAGGTAGAATGGAGGGAAGGGGAATGGGAAAAAACAAGAACCAAGATATATCATGTAACAGGTACAAATTCCCAATGATGAATGTGATTATAATGTATACCTATAATATACAAATAATCATATGGGAAAAAATTCATAGGAAGTCAACTTGCTTGCAGAATAACACTGAAATGATGGGAATTTGATGATTCAGTAAAGTTTCTACACAATGAGGAGCATGTAATGCTAAAAAAATCCAATTTCATTTAAAAGCATCTTTGTCATCTATAATGCTTTTATTGTTCAAAATGCTCATTTTTTTAACCTATTAACATGTTCATTATGCCTTATGGATTGATGCTGAGTACTTGAGGGGAAATGCTTATATCTAAAATATTTTTTTTAAATTGTTAAAGCAGGGATTTGAACTTGTGGAGGATCCTTACACTGTTCTTACTATAACATCCTTCTGGTAACCTTTGTGCATCCTTGCTGTTATTCTGCACTGGTTTGAAGACTTCTGTATTAATCATAAGGGGATAGTGCATTCAGAGACTGACTTGAGATGTATTTAGAATATATTGTAAGACTAACTGGTGGCTCATTAGACTTTGGAGTGAAAGAGGAATCTAGCTTAGGCATGTAAATAGATTGTGATGCCACTCATTGCATAAGGAAAGTCATCAGCAGGGTTTGGAAAGGTGGAGATGGAATTCTTTTTGCCTGTAGATTTTTATGTGGAAATCTTTTAAATAGTCTAGAGCACTAATGAAAGATAAAAGATAAGTTTATATACTTAAGGGATTTTAATATATAAGTGTGTGATACTACCTAGCTAAATGGACAAAAAATGCTCATTTAAGGAGAACTCTTGCTGAACATGAGAGATTGGGGCCAGTGGTTCTACAGGAAATTCAGGCTGGAATTTGAGGTTTGGAGTTACGGTGATATTCCAGATGACATGACGCTATTTGAATAAGTGTAGATTGTTGTTCATGAATAAATATATATTGTTGTGCATGAAACAAAAACATCCCCCCAAAATAAGCATATAGAATCTTTTGAATCAAAAATTAATGTAATATTCAGTCTTGTTTTGGGGGAAACACAATATGTATTTATTTATTTATTTAGGTTTTTGAGACAGAGTCACACTTTGCAGTGTTCAAAGCTGGGCTTGAACTCACTGTGTAGCCCAGGATGGCCTCAAACTCATAGCACTCCTCCTGCCTCAGGCTCCCGAGTGCTGGGATTACAGGCATATGCCACCATGTCCAGATTTTTTGTTTGTTTTTAAATACAATGATTTGCAGATAAAATCAAGAGTGGGAGAAGCCAGGAGTGGTGGCATACACCTGTAATACTGGCGCTCTACAGCATGAGGCAAGAGGATCGCCATGAGTTTGAAGCCAGCCTGCACTACATAGTGAGTCTAAGGCCAGCCTGTACTACAAAATGAGACCCTGTGTCAAAAAGCAAACGAACAAAAAGACAAACAAAAGGCCAAAAAGTTGCAACATAAAGTAACTGTCTTTTAAATGCTTCCTGTGTTTTATAGGTATGCTCCAGAATCGCTGACAGAGAGCAAGTTTTCTGTGGCCTCTGACGTTTGGAGTTTTGGAGTAGTTCTGTATGAACTTTTCACATATATTGAGAAGAGTAAAAGTCCACCTGCAGTCAGTGTGCTTTTTATTTCTTCTGTTTTTTTTTTAATCACAGAAAGGCTTTGTTCAATGAATAATAAGCCTAGAACTCATTTTAGAGGCTCTTGTTGCTTATTCGTAAAGCAATATCCAACAAAATAACCCTAAACTTATTTATTAACTTAAAGTTTTAAAAGGAGGATGTTAGAGTACTGTTTAGTATAATTTCTTGTGTTAGTTCATTTTCTGTTAATTTAACAGAGTATTCAAAACTGTATACTATGTAAAGAAACGGGTTTATGTAGCTCAGGGTTGTGAGGCCAGGTGTGAAAGTCCAGTATCAATCAGCCACATCTGTTCAGCTTCCAGTGAGGGACCCTTGGCTATGTCTCCTCATGGCACATAAACAGAAAGGGAACAGTCTTTGTGTGGAAGGGGTCACACAGCAAGATTTGAAGCCAGAGAACAAGGAGTGGCCAGTCTTGCTCTTTCTATAAAACAATTTGCTCTCGTGAGAATTAACACATTTAAGACTAGCATTAATCCTGAGGATTAATTTCCTTCTGAAGGCTGTGCCCTCTAATTATCTTCCACTAGTCCCTACTTCAGAAAGTTCCTACTTTAACATTGCCACACCAGGGACCAAGATTCCAACATATGAACCTTTAGAGGTTAAACTACATCCGAACCCTACATCCGAACCATAGCATCTCTTAATATCATTTATTGTACAAGTTAAAATAAGCTTTGAAAGTAATTTTTCCTGTGCTTCAACATAAAGTATGAAATATAAATACAATCCCTAATGTAATTAGAGACAACCGCTTTAAGTTTGTAATATATTTTCTTTGAAGCTTACTTATTTTAATATAAATAAAATTTTATGAAGAAATACAATTGTTTTATAAAACTAACGTTATACTGTACAGTTTTAATCCTCTCATTAAGTATTACATTGGTATTTTATTGTATAGTGAACGTTTACCTCAGATACAATTTCTAATTGCTGAGTTTCTTCCATCATACGGTTTTATATTTCTGTACAGTCAGTTTCCATTTTTCAGTCATTTAACGCTTCAATGAACACAGTGGACATTCCTATTCATGAGTATTTCTGTTTATCTCTGGTTCTCATATTAGAATAAAAGCATAATTGTTTTATTGTGTCAAAGCAACAATAAGAAAACATACATATGTTTTTAGTTCATGTTTTTAGCCCTTCTCAAGGAACTTGGGTTGAGTATAACACAGTTGCAGAAATGGCATAATAGAGGCTTCACATTTAATAGTGTTTTATGAAAGATGACTCAAAAGGAAGTTTTGATGCTTAATATGGTCTGTTTTTAAAAAGTTTTAAAATAAACACAAATATATATATATATATATATATATATATATATACACACATACTCAATTCTTTTCTACTTACTGGAGGAAGCTGAAAAAGAATTTTCCTTCAAGTTGAATATACAAGAAAATAATTGAAAAGTGGGTTTGTATTTCAGGAGTTCATGCGTATGATTGGAAATGACAAACAAGGACAGATGATTGTGTTCCATTTGATAGAACTCCTAAAGAATAATGGAAGATTACCACGACCAGATGGATGCCCAGATGAGGTAATTTTTTTTTTAAATCCACATAATCATGCATTTTTTTTTCTTGTTATTCAAAGTCTCAAGGCCACTGAAATTGCTAAACTTTTAGCTAAATAGCATTAACAGATGACTGTGGATCAAGGCACAGCTATAATAAATTCATAATCTTTTTTTAGGAAAATTAACTAGGAGTTCCAAATTCACTTTTCCACTAATTAAAAAGATGGTACTTGTGTTCATTGCAATTTTGGTTTACTTTTTCAGATTTATATGATCATGACAGAATGCTGGAACAATAATGTAAACCAACGCCCTTCCTTTAGGGACCTAGCACTTCGAGTGGATCAAATAAGGGACAACATGGCTGGATGAAAGAAACAACCTTTATTCTCAGACTAAAGCAGACTTACAGAACAAAGTTTTGTATTTAACAGTGCTGTGGACTATTATTACACATACAGTTATTACACACATCATGATCTAGCCAGCAAAGATGTGAAAGTATCTGCTCAAAACTTTCAAAGCAGGCCTGCGGATTTAGCTCAGTGGCACAGTGCCTGCCTAGCAAGTGCAAGATCCTGAGTTCGATCCTTGGTACTAAAAAAGAAAGAAAGAAAAACTTTCATAAGGACATCTGTAAAAGACATTCATGAAAAATCTCAAGCAAGAAATTTTGTAAAAAGTTTCCTGAATCTTAGTTATATATCCTTCTCTGACAAGAAAAAAAACAGACTTTTTTCAATTTAAGTTTTTGAGAGGTAAAAAAATTTTGCAATTTTAAAGATGAATATATATGTACAGTTTTTACCACAGTGAATGTATAATACTTTGGCATCTTGTGTGATTTGCACAAGGGCTTATGTTCATTAATAATATTTTCTAATTTTTCCATGTTGATGTATAATAACTACTATACAAACAAATTATGATGCTCAGAAAAGTGAATAAACACATTCATGTTCTTGTTCATCTATATCACTGTCCAGCAATATTAAGCAAGTATATACTTTTAGGTTGTAGTTTCATGTACTGTAAATATTTTTCTAAGCAGAGGGAACAAAAGTCTAGTTTTATTTGTATAGAAAAATTTCCTAACCCCAAAGAATACATTTTGAAATGGAAGAAGCTTACAGAGATATAACATAATCTATTTTCTTATTTGTTTCCCTTGTGTCTGTTTGTGAATGTTTTTTTAATAGAAGTATCTCCAGATTTTTCTAAGACTAATGAATTGTGTTTTAAATTTTTGAGATTAAGAATGTCAGAAATATTGTCATCCCTTGAGCTGTTGCCAGTTAAGATTCATCATGGGACTCATGGTCATGCATTAAATTTAAGCATAAGCCATAAACACTTTCTAAAATCTAAATGCTCATTAAGATGTATAGTGGGGTAGGAATATTTTTTCTAAAGAACACGTGTTTAAGAGGTTTCCACATGTTCTTTTGAAGTCATAGAAGAGACTTCGTCTTGTTAGAGTCTCATGCACAAAGAAGAAATAAGGCAAATTTGTGAAAAAAATATGCTTGTTAATTTCATTCAAGAATGCCACTAGGAAATTCATAATGCATATCTTTAAGAAAAGGGAGAGAGCATATATATTTTCAAATAAGTATGAAGGTTTTTTTTGTTATTGTCGTCTGTTTTAGCGCTACTCCATTTTAGATGCCATACCTAAAATAAAATATGGTGGGTTTTTTCTTCTGTGTGTCTTATTTATACAAAGGTTAAAATACTTGGTAACAAGGAATAGTTTTCTTATTTTTAGTGGTGTGTGCTAGTTTTTAAAACTTTTATATTTAAGATTTTGGATTTTTGGTAGAAGGGAAGGAAAGAGAAGAAATGCTTACATTCTTTAAGATATTTCAGTAGATACCAGATAGCAAAATCATCAAAAACGACAAGTGTATTAGATAAAAATAAAAAAGATTTATGATAGATATTTGGATGAAACTTAAATATAATTTGTTTAATCTGTAAAGGTTCTCAAGGATCTCTTCATGTAATTTAGAGATCTTGGATTCTACTGCTTTTTAAATAAAAGCATACTTTATGTTATGATTTATTTCAGATATTTGTTCTAAAACTTACAAACTTAAAAGTAGGTTCTTATTAAAGGTCTAATGTTTCATTTGTTTTTAAAAGCAAGGATGTGAACTATATTTCTTTAAACTTTTTTTAATGTTCCTTTTTTTTTGTTACCGGAGATTGAACTCAGGACCTAGAGCTTTCCAGGCAAGTGCTGTGCCTGCTGAGCTACATCCCCAGCCCCCCCCTTTTTTTTTTTTTTTTTAACTTTTAAAGAATCCCATATACATATTCTTAAATTTCTAGGGTAAGATAACTACATTTTTGTAAAATTTCAAATATTCAGGAGACTTCTTTTTCATTGAGGGTTTTTAATGTTTTGATTTTTTTTAATGTGTTTGCATGGTACTGGGAGTTGAACAAGGCCTTTGCACTGAGCTACATCCTCAGCCTCACTCCCTGTTTTATTTTGAGATAGTGTCTCACCAAAGTTACTAAATTTCCCAGGTTGGGTTTAAACTTGCAGTCCTTCTGCCTCAACCTACTAGAATCTTAGGATGTCAGATGTGTGCCACCATACCTAGCTCTTTTTAAATTTTAACTCTGTCTGTATATAACAAGAGAAGAAGAACCCCACAGCTGTCTAGATGGTGTTATGATCCAAAATGTTCCCAGAAGTCTAATGTGTTCAGAGGTGAGGCTTTTGGAAGATGATTGGATCTTAGGGGCACTTTATTCATCAGTGAATCTTACTGATGAGTTTCAAGCTAAATGAGCAATTAATTAGAAGGCAGGGCGAGAAGTAGGTGGGTCACTGGGAATGTGTCCTGAAAGGGTGCATTCTTGTGCTGGGTCCTACCTTCTGTCTACTTCCTGGCTGCCATGGGTTGAACAGCATTCCTCTGCCATGCTCTTCCAACAAGCCATTTCTGCCTTGGAGCCAGCCAGCTATGGACTGAAACCTCTGAAACTGTGAGTCAAAGAAACCTCCACTCCTTTAAGTGCAGATGTTGGGTTGTTTTTTCCAGAGATGGGAAAGTGACTAGTGCTGTTGGTTCTATATAAGAAACAATTATTGTATCAGTTAAGGCTAAATGTTTCTTCAAATTAATATTTTTTGGAAATAAATGAAAAGGTTTTCTTAGAATTCTGTAATTCTGTATATGTATCAGTATTTGTTATGTAACCGCTATATAAATAATTCCCTACTTCCATGGGTACTTAGTTAAGTCACTTCTTCATGCTAGTTACCTGTCCTGATTGTAACATTAGTTTACCGTGGAAGAGTGCTTTCTTATAACCCAAATATAATGTACAAATATAATTTCTGGTATTTGTTTTATTTGAAGAATTTTATTTTGTAATAGATATTAGAAAATATCTAAATTTCTATATTTGGGGAGTCATTCTTCATGGTGTGTTTTATGTGCTCAGTTTGAGGTTATACTAATTTCTTCATTGGAACTTTTGCACGATCCCAGGAAATGGAAAGTTTGATGTAATAAATATTCTGAAGATACTTTCTTTTGGATTGTTACTTAATCAAATAGTTATGTATGTAGATGAAAATGTTGAGGTGTTTCTCACTAAAAAAGATAATACAATATTTTTACTGAAAAAGTTGAGAGTTCTTCAATTGCTTGGAGAATATGTGAACTTCAGATACATTTTTTTATTTTGGTACTGGGGATAGAACTTGGGTCCTGACACTTGCAAAGCAGGCAGCAGAACCACTGAGCCAAACCCCCCGCCCTGAGGATATGTGAACTTCAGAGTGAATTTTATAATACTATGTTATATATGATTGTGAGTTGGAATTTATTTACTGACATTAAAAACATTAGAGATTGAAGAAGTCATACATACTAAAGTAAACTGGAAACAAAATGAGAAAGATAAACCTAACACTCCAGGCACTCAGTTATTAACATACCTAGTGGAAGACTGAAATACATATATGATCCTTGTTTACTTTGCAGAACAGTTTTGTTGAAGGTTCCTGTAATAACCTGTATGGCTATCCAAAATTTTTATTTAGTATATTAAATTTACTTTTTTTTTATTTAAGATCACTCAAGTTTTGCTTGAAGAAAATGTAAAGAAAGTTTTCAGAATTAAATACTTCATCTTGATTTTTAAGAATAATAACTGAAGTCTCTATGAACAATTAAAACTCATTTAATCTGCTTAACCTTCACATGTGCTACTGTCCTCTCCTTTCCATCTGTTTTTCCACCCTAGTAGTCACATCCATTCTCAGCAACCCCTGTGAGTGATTTCATCTTCTCAAGGCAGGCCACAGATACTGAGTTTCAAAAATACAAAAACAAAACAAGACCACAGCTGTCTTAAACAGCTTACAGTGTAGAAAGATAGCAACTAAAATAACTTGCCAATTGTTGTTAAAAGTCTCAAAAGTAATTTGAAGGCCTTACAAGGTATCAAGTAGATTGTGAGTAAAATACTTAAGAAATTCACTGAAGACAAGTTTATTATTAAAATAAATGGACTAAGATATGTGTACATTGTCAGTGACAGCTTTAAAAAGTAAACTGGCTAATTACAAGAGTTGCTTTAGGTACATTTCATTTATATTTGCCAAAATTTACTGGTTTGTAGCATGTTTCATGAGGACAGTGGAAGTATTCCTTATTCTGAAATTGGAGATTATCAGGAAATTAATAGACTGAACTTCCTCCTACAATTCTCAGATTATTCCAGCATGAAGGAATACTTACTCCATCCATAAGGCTGTCATACAGACAGTGAGATGCAGGAAAAACATCCTGGCAAGAGTTGTTGTTAGTTAGCTGGACTTTAATGTCTTAAATGATACAGTCTTACAGACAAACTGGTAAAAGCGCTCATTTGCTCAACGAACTGTTCATGTCAGAGATCATCAGCTGTGTATCATTTGCACAGATAAAATCGATACCATAGGTGGACATCAGTTTTTTCAAAGTACTTCAGCTGATAGGTTCAGAGAAGTTTTAACGGAGTTAACTAAAATAGGAAGATATAAAACTTCGCATAGAGCTGAAATGATCATGGCTACAAACAGCCAAGCAGAGTAGATAACTGCTTTGTTATCTTTCAGTAAACAGAAAAATATATATTTAGATATCAAATGAGCAAGCAAGATTAGATATATTGAAAATCCATGCAGAAATCATTACAAAGTGTGATGAAACAATTAGGAGCCATGAAGCTTTCAGATGACTTTAATGGAACAGGCTTAGCTTTTTTTACCACAGTGAAGTACATGAGGCAACTGCCTTTTAAAAAAGTTTATTTAGTTCACATATTTAGAAGTTTGAAGTCCAAAGTTGGATGGCCCTGTTGCTTTAACCTATAATGAGAGCAGCAGATGGTCACATGGTAGGAACATGTGGTCACATCTCAAAAGTAGAAAGCAGCAGAGAGGGAGATGGAGAAGAAGAAAAAGAAAAGTAGGGGAGACATGCCAGGATCCTATAGTCCCCTTCAAGGGCATGCTGTACTAAACTACATCCAACTAAGCCGCACCTCTTACAGATCCACAGCACCTACCAATAACACCACACTAAAGTTCAAGTTGTTTTTTTTTTTTAATGGTACCAGGAATCAAACTCGGGACCCCAGCACTTGCGAGGCACACAGCAGAACCACTGAGCTAAATCCCTGGCCCAGTTCAAGATTTTTATAGAAGGCCCTTTGGAGAGCACTATCTAGATGGTAGCAATACCTGAAAAATGCACCAAAGCAGATAAACGTACAAATTTATATTGTAGAAAGTCTTCCTGGAAGCAGAAAGCCAGTGATTCAAAGAAGCTAGAATCTAAATAGTGCTAAGAACCTGTGTAATTTCATATGAGATTTTTGATGGCTACATGATAGACATAGGCTTATTGTAAAAACAACTTAAATAAAATGTATATAATGGCAGTGATCTAAAAGTGTGAATAAAAGGATAGCTTAAAACAAAATGTTATGTGGTAGTAAAACATGAATAAAATAGACAGGAGAGGAGAATTGAAGCATATGTAAACTTAAGGGTCTTAAACTGCATTGTGAAGTCTTTTATTATTTGAAGGTAGTCTGTCATATAAAGATGCACGTTGTAATCTGTATCAAGAAGTCACTAAAAACCGAATTTAAGAATTAAGATAAATAGCTAAATAACAAACAGAAGAGAGAAAATGAAATAATAGAAACAAATTCAACCCAACAGAATGCACAAAAAAGGAGAAACAGACTAGATAGAACATTTTTTAAAATAGCAAATTTATACATTTAATTGTAAATCATATTGACAACATTAATCAATGATGTAAATATGTTAACTAAAAGGCATGTATTATTGAATTCAGTAGAAGAGCAGGAACCAACACCTGTTTATAAGGTATAAGTTTTAAATATGAAAATACAAAGAGATGAAAAAAATGAAGCAAGCTGGTATCAAAATGTTACCAGTGATAAAAGGAGACATTATATGACCAAAGAATCAATTTACCAAGAAGGTATGGTAAACACCAACAGAATTTTGAAATACATGAAGAATGAATGAATGAATGGAAAATAAATGATCTAAAAGGAAAAGTAGACAAATCCATAATTATAGAGTTCAACACTTTTCTCTCATTAGTTGACAGAAAAGAAGATAGTAAGATCAGGAAAGACACAGAACATTGATGAGTGCTGTCAACTAATTTGACCTAATTGCTATTTATAGCACATTCCATCAAACAATATACATTTGGTTGAAATGCATATAGAATAATTATGAAGTATATGCTGGTCCATAAAACAATTATCAAGAAATTTTAAAAGATTAAAATACTCCCCATCAAAAACACATTCAAATTACAGATCAATTAAAGAAATATCTGGTATATGCTGAAACATTAGAAAGTTTTAAAAAACACATAGGTCAAAGAAAAATAAGATAAAATAGTATTTTTAATGAATAAGAATGAAAAATGTGAAATTAAAATTGTTCTTAGAGTAAAATTTATAGTTCTACATGATTTTACTAAAAAAAAAAAAAAGCCTAAAATCAACAACATAAGATTAGAAAACCAAAAGGGAATTAAACTCAAATAACTGAAGGGAGAAAAATGAAGCCAGGAGAATAAATCAATGAAATAGAAAAGAAAATAGTATCTGTGAAGGCAAATGTTGATACTTCAAATAGATTATGGAATTGATAAACCTCAGCTAAAATCAAGATAAGAAAAAGCACAAATTACCAAAATCTGTTGTCTCAGTCAATTTCTCATCGAGACACAATACTGGATACCCACAACTTAAAAGAAGAGAGGTGTATTTAGGTTCATGGGGTGGTAGGGAAGCAGAGTGAGTCAAATGAGGAGCCAAGAAGGGATATAACCTTGCAGGTCTCAGTAATAGGACTTCTCCAACCAAATTCCATTTGTAACAGCAAGTCAGGTATAATGCATGTCCAAATCCAAGCACCCTCTAAATGTATCAGGCTTTGGGGACTATTTTGGTTAAACCATAGTATCAGTCAGTGATAAAAGAGGAATTAGCACACATACCCTACAGTCATTTAAAGAAGTTTGAGGGAATAAACAACTTCATGTCAATGAATATGAGTCAGAACCTGAGAACTTTCTTAAAAGAAGTAAAATGTCAAAATAGACTCCACATAGAATATTAAATAGAAATATCTTTATAATGTTTAATTTGTTATTAAAAACTTTATTAGTGCATTAGTGGATTATATTAAATGATTAAGGAATGTCTTATAGCCCTAAACAGATTATTTATGAAAATAAGGAAGATAATATTTCCTAAACTCACTTTATGAGGCCACCATTACTCTTGACATCAGAAAGACACAAAACTATAAGCCAATAGCTCTATCAACACTGTCACAAAACCCTTTAATGATTACCAAACACAGCTAGATTCACTATATTAACAGAATAAAACAGCTCAAAGTCATCTCAATATATGCAGAAAAAACACTGAACAAAATTTAACACTCATTCATGGTAAAAAAAACAAAAAACAAAAAAAAAAAAACCCCAGCAAACACAATACAAGAAATTTTTTCAACCATATGAAGTGTATCTACAGAAATCCTAAAAGTAAGCCTTAACATCATACTTAGCAGTGTGGGGAGGAGGGGGAGCTTTCTTCTAGGATAAGCAGAAATGGCCCCTCCTGAGTCAGTCTTAATTCACTGATGAGTATAACACTCCTATTATCCAATGCCAGATTATTAAAGTGTGTAGCAATGTATATGCATTGGGAAATCTGATGGTTTTATAATTTGGATTTTGATGGGCATATAGAGCACACTACTAGACTGCATTTTAGTTTTTAAGCAATAAGTACAGACCTATAATACATTTTCAAACTGATACATGTGCATTACTGTAATTAGCCAAAGCATAAGCATTTCACCATTAATTGTTCATTTTCATCTGTGACACACCTATTCCACAGCCTGTATATATATTTTTTTCAGCCTATATATTTTCAAACTGGAAAATGTGCCTTACTGTATTTTAGTCCAAGCATAAGCATTACTCAAATAATGGTGCATTTTCATATAAAACCTATTACACCTATTCTACCGCTCAACCATAGTATATCCTGTCATTTTGTATCTAAATGGGTGGCTCTGTATATTTACAAAGATAACTGAATATATATATATATTGAAACTGGTAAAAAAAATTTGTTAATGCACTAGTTACATGATGAATTATGTGGAAAAGAAACTTTTAAGAAAAAACAAATAGGAATAAAAAATTTAATTGAAGAGAAACTATGGTAAATACTTGGAAAAGAAATTAGAAATGATGCTTACCCACTAAATAATTGTTGGAAAATTGGAACTCCACTTTGGATTCTTTAGATTAAGTATTGCTATACTTTGTAGAATTTAAATTATTTCACAAATGGACAGAAAGTGAAAACATACAAAAACCTGGTGCTATGTAGTTTTATAATGTCTGTATTGAGGTATATAAGCACATAGATTGTATGACTTTAACAATATTTATATAGTAGCTATAATCCAGAAGGTTGGTTAAAAATGTAAACTGCTAGTTCCCGTAGTCTTCTTAGTTGGGGATTCAATAAATCTGAGGTGGGACCTTGGATTTGAGTTGACAACAAATTCCTAGATGATGCTGATGCTTCTAATTTAATCAGGGCCACGCTTTAAGAAATCCTGCTAAAGCTTCTTGATAATATTGAAAAAGGTATCGATACATATATCAGCACCTTCAGAGCAGAAAGATATCTTGGGGAAATATTACAACCTTGACAATCACTAAACTCTCTTTAAATCCTCAGCAATTGTGATGAAAATCTGCATATCTTCTATAATGAAATTACCTGCTGTTATAGTACAAGAGCTCCTAATAGGAGTGTAGTTGGTTACTCTTAAATTGGTGGGACAGATGTGTTGGCTTACTGACAGAAGTCTGTGGAACATCATCTTTATGTCATACAGAATGTATAAATTCCATAATCCATTTAAATTCAGCTTAAGAGAGTTTTCAACCATAGTGACTAGAAACAAAGAGGTACTTCTTTGATATCTACATGGATCATGCTACCTCCAATAACATCTTTAAAAACATGAAAAGTAAGGAAAATCTGAAGAAAATACCATACAAAGATTCCTAATAGCACCACATTGTCAAGTGCTTGCAAGTACATTCACCACATAGCACCTATAAGCACATTTACCAAAAATAAACAGTTGATACAGTGAGGTTTTATTAAGTTTGTATAGTTCTTATGATAATTGGTATATCCCAGGCTCTTTTATCATTGTTTGAAAAATCAATATATGGAAAGCATGCAATGGCAAGTTCTTCTTTTGTATATCCCTTAAGGCAACATTTATCTGAGTATCCGCTGCGTTTCCTTTGAGGATGATTCCCCCAAAATATATTGCTTAAGGTGTTAATTTAGTTTGTACTTTTCTTCTGAAATTTAACATTTTTGTGAACATATGGATTGACATCATGTGATGAAGAAAATTTTCTTTTCTTATCAAGGAGCAAGTTGGTCTTTTTATACTGATACTCAGGCAATCTCTGAATGTCCAAACTGCTTATTGCTTCTTCCTGAGAGGCAGAAGTAGAGGCTATTGAGAGACCAAAAAAAAAAAAATTCCTTTATTAAGAAATTTAATGTTGTAATACTTAAGTCATCTAAATATTAAAAAGCAAGTAGTCACGTTTTAAAAAGTAGTACGCTCATTCAAATGCAATATATATGTGCGATTTTTTTTTTTAGTGTTTTTTTGTTTTGTTTTGTTTTGTTTTTTAAACTTGGGACCTAGCACTTGTGAGGACAGCAGCAGAACCACTTAGCTAAATCTCCGGCCCTTTTCAGGGTTTTTGAGACAGGGTCTCACTATGCAGTTCAGGCCAGTCTTGAACTCACCATGTAACCCAGGCTGCCCTCAAACTCAGTGTGTTCCTCTTGCCTCAGCCTCTTGAGTGCTGGGATTACAGGTGTGCACTACCACACCCAGCCTTTCACACATTTCAGAACAACTGTGGCATATGATATTTCTACTTCAAATTATCCTTTACATAGATAGTTCCCATAGTAACAATACTAATTATGAAATATTAGATATATTTTTATTTCCTGCAGATTGTATTTCACTGCAGATTCTCTCTTACTAAACTAATGACATTTATTCCTCCAGGAGAGTTTAAATAGCAGCCAAAACAATGAGGTCCTTAATCAGCTCTGAGTTTTAAAGTGGAACATTTTTTTATTAAGAAAATTGTTTTCAGAGTAGGCTTTATTGGACAAAAGGAGTGAGTTCAGCCAGCCTGAACTACAAGACCCTACAAGATCTAAAAATCAAGATTTAGACTGATGGTTTTTGTCTCTAAGTTTTCATTGCCTTCGTAGCAATAATTTATATAGTCCCATTCATTAAAAACTAAGTTAATAAGTGCTTACAACATACTAGGCATTATTTCAGTAATCTAAATAAGCTTCTATTTTTGGCATGACAGTCTACTTAGTTCCTAATTTAGCAAGATTTGTCCAAATTGAAGTAAGTGAATTACTTTAAAAGGTAACAATTTTAATGGCATTACACTATGGATAGAATATGAACAGGTGCATTTTAAAAATAAAAATGGCAAACCATATTGGGACTAAACTATTAATCACAAAAAGTGAAAATTCTATAATTAGAAGAACTGATAGATCTGAAAAAGAAAATTCTTTCTAAAGATTAATTTTAAACCTTAAGTATAAATTCAAAGTATGTTAAGTATATATTATGTGGTCTTGTTTTTTGCTAGTCATTTCAGGTAAAAGTACACATGAGATAGCTCCATAATATAGAGTGATATATATGGGTGGCTTTACAGAATTGAGACTTGTGGAGTTGCACAGGGTGTGCATTTGGTTTTAAAGTTTGTGTTGTACCAGTAGTGGAATTCTCAATAACTTTATCTTTGAACTTGCAAGTGAAGTACAATTACATGAACTTTAAAGTGAAGCCGGATGGGAGAATGAATCATGCTCTTGAGCAGAAGAGATATGGAGAAAAGATAAAAAGCTTTTACATTTTTGTACATTTGTCCCTTTTTGAAGAAGGACCCTGTATTTTACCCTACATTGGGTTGGGCCAAGTATGTAGCCAGTCCTGATGACTGTCAAACAAAACTGCACATGCTAGATACTATTTAGAAAGGAGAAAGGAACAATTGACTATTAAATGATCTTTTTTATCTATAATGAATAAATCTATTGTCTTACAAAATCATTGTCTAGAAATGTGGGAATAGAAGAAAAGATATTTGCAGTCAGGTGTCTGGTGGTCAACAGCCAGTACAATTCATACAGAGAGAAATCAGAGATTCCAAACCCATGTGACAAATTCTTCCTAACAGATGTTAAAGCTTTTAACCCAAAAGGTTTGCATTTTCAAGCACATTGCAGAGGATCAGGGATTTATCCTTAACACTGATTTGTTGTCACTGAATGTTTATAATACCACTTTGACTAAAGAGATACATGATATGAAGCATAGTCAAAAGTTAATATCATTATAGAGGCAAATGATATATTTAACATTGTCTTAGTACTGTAGTGTCTAAGGCACTTTCTGTAGTGTCAGTTTGCTCAACTCTCAACCAAAAACAGAATGCTAAAGTGTTCACTGTAACACTGTCCAAAGAAAAGGGAAAAGGAAAAATGAAAAAAGGATTCACACCCACTGGCATGTCAACATTCAGGCAGATGGCATCTGTTCTTGAGGTCCTCTAAACCTTGCTGACAAACTTGGAACAAGCCTTGGACACAAAACCAACATTCCCATTTTGGGCTCAAAGCAGTGACTGAATTTGCAAGGTCAGCATGAGGGCCTGGCTGGCGAGGAAGGGCCTTCTGCTAGCTCTTGTGGGGCCGCAAGGCTGCTTGCTTCTGGACTAGGAGGGCACTGGGCAAAGCAGACACTTGAGGAGACCACCTGGAGGTCACTATGATGGCTACCACCTGTGGTCTCAGATGCATCATGGCCACCACCCTCTCTATGCACAAACCAGCCCTGGCTGGGGACGATTCACATGAGTAGATACAGGGACACCACCAACTCGAGGGGTGGAGCTACCTCTTGGGAGATAGGTGTGGTAACACTAAATGGATGTGGCTTCCCCAAGTCCAACCCACCTCTCCTAATCTTTCCAAAGCCCCTTTCACAGTTTGCTCAATGAAACAGTGATCATTATTTGAGGGATATGAGAAATGAGTGCAGTTTAGGTTCCACAATGTTCTAAGAGACTGGATGTGGCCGCGGAGTCAGGGCCACATGAACACAGAACTAAGTTACCTGTCCGTACGACAGAGCATGCACAGCGACTGAGCAACGACCACGGGGCTGCCCCCACAACCCAGCGACTGGTCAGTAGAGGTACAAGATCCTAACAATAGTGACTTCACAGGGAAAACGATACCTAAGTTGGGCTTTCAAAGACAAAAAAAGTTTGCCAGATGACAAGAGCAATAGGGGAAGCTAGGAAAGAAACAGCGTTCTTATAAAAATGTGCACACTTATAAGTGTACACATATTTCCTCTAAGAAAAAGAAAGCTTCATGCAGGGTTTTGTATAGTCTCAACATGCTAGTTTTTAATTATTTTTACTTATCTATATACTAGGCACAAATTCCATATCCTGCAGAAGCTTACAGCAAATCTGAGAAGAAATGTAAATAAATGAACAAATATGCCCTTGGTTTAAATTTTTACCTGGGTTTGTGACGCCTCCCCACACGGGGAAAGGCATTTTGGGTCTTTTGAACTGATGGAGGTCAAGGGCTTCAACTTTCGGAATGGCCTGGGGAGCCAATTGTGCCAAAGGTGTTTCTTCCTCAAACTGAAACTGGCTCCAGTCAGTATCGCCACAGAGTTTTACTATTTCTTTCAACAAATGGCTGCCACACAGCTTCCTGACTCTGCTGATCTCTTGGTTCAGCTCATGGGAGAGGGGAACCAACAGGAGACCAAGCCACAGCAGACTTAAACCGCGAAGCCATGTCATCCTGCACCCCCAGCAGGGCCTGAGCTCTACAACTGCCAGTCTCTCCTGGCCCCGCCCTCCCCGCAGCCCCACCCCCACCCCAGGTGGCTTCGGAGGCTGCGCAGACCTCAGGAGAGCACACAGCTCGCCTGGGCTTCCGGTCTTCTATAGACTCTCCGGAAGTCGCAGGTAGCAGGCTCTGGCTCCCTGGATTGATTTCGTTTTTGTTGACTTCCTGTTTGGAAGTGTTCAAATGAAATACGAGAACATAAGACTCTTACTAACTAGTAATGTTACCCTGAAAGATGTCGCTATCTCTCCTGGAAAAGCATTTCTCGTCTTTGGCCTGGTTGGTAGTGAGGCGTTCCTTCCCTCAGAAAATCCTCTCTTCCACCTCTTCATGCTGTCGGTAGGTCTGTGTACATTTGTTTTTCGCTTGTTTCATAACTTCTTTCCTCAAATCCTCGGGCCTCACAAAAGCAAGACCTGTGGTGGTTCTCGCTTTCCTTTCTTTTTTTTTGTACCAGGGATTGAACTCAGGACCTTGAGCTTTTTAGACAGGCGGTGGCACCACTGAACTAAATCTTGATTTCCATTGAAGTCTACCTCTGGGTTTGACACGCAGTTGACTATCAAATGTGTTGAAACGTGTATGTATTACAGTATGTGTATGTGTGTTTTAAAGTCAGCCCAGAGCTACTTTTGAAAAATTTCTACCGTTTCTGCAGGAGAAAAGCCTTAGCCAAAATTTCCAGAACAAAAAGTTAAGGATGCAGTTCTGAGAACCTGTGATGGAAGTCTTTATTTCCCCCTCATTATTTATGATGCAGGATTATTTGTGCCAGATTGTAACCATTTGATAAGGAAGCACCATGAAGTGCAAGTTTAAATGGGTTCATTTTGCCCAGATGGGATAACTCAGGGAAGTAAACCCCAGTATGAGCTGCTTAATCATTTTTAATGAAATCTTATTTTATTATAAAGTATTCTGTCTTGGAAATATGTGCTTTCAGCCAGAAGGGAGAAGTTGAGCCGATCTCAGAACCAGTCACTTTTAGTATGCTGAAGGCTTGGAAAGGTGACAGTTTAATTGTTAGTGATTTTTTTCACCACTTGCTTTCTGTCTTCTGAGTGTGTCTTTTTTCCCCATTTTCCATTTCTATAGCTTTTTTTTGTTTTTTTTTTGCTTCCCGGTAGCATCCATGAATACTGCTAAATTAACTGGCCATTAGATTTTTTGAAAAGGTGAAATAATATGTCAGCACAATTTCATCACGTTCCTAACAACTAATATCCAAACTAATAGGCCGTGAGTCCTAGTTGGAACTTCATGTTCCTAGTTGGAGTTCCTATGAGAAAGGAAAATACCCATTATACTTACAGGAATATTTAAAACAAATTCTCAAGTGCTACGTGTCAGCACTTGACAATATGATTTAAACCCCCATTCTATTTGCGGTCTTTATACTCTCATCCTGCTTTGTATTTCCCCATACCACTCCTTACAAACTGACAAATTGTATTTGAAGCATTTACTGTCTTCTGCTACCTGATGGCATATTCCTTGAACTCAGGAATTTTTATGTTTTATTTACTTTGATATCCTGTGTGCCTGAACAATGCCTGGCATACAATAGGTTCTTAATATTAATTTAATGTTAATAGTTATACTTACTAATATTAATGACAAATGACATGCTAAGGATATTAAAAACTGTGTAATATTTGGTGAATTAATGAATGAACTTCCTGCGAACCTGCTGCTTCTTCCTGTATGCTATATTTCATACTTCTGTCACAATTTTAGTTCTTTATTGCACTCTAATGAATTTTTTTAAAAAACAGGTAATTATCTGTCCTTTTACCATTTGTAAGTCTATTAATAAGCCATTTTTGGTTCATATTTATCATCTAATGTCTAGGGCGGTCTTTACTAACTAGATTTTTAATAAATACTTGTACAATAAACATATTCTCAACTATTAATATTTGTTGTTAGCAAGAGTGAAAGGATTTATTGAACCAAATTACTGTTGAAATGACATATTTTGAATGAAGTTGTTCTTGCCATTGAATGAATACCTGATTTATTAGCATCCTGTTTTATATACCTTATTCCAGAACACTGTCATAAAATGGAGCTACCAAAAAAACCACATTTGTGTATGTATAAGTGGCATGTAATTTATGCAAGATATAATCTAAGGGATTAAGAGTCATGCAAGAATATTTGTTTTTCAAGTTATTTTAGTGTTTTTTTTTTTTTTTTTTTTT